GGGGGAATCAATTATGCCCTTTAAAAAAATGAAAGAGTAACTACTAAAAGGATAGATATATATAATTTCTGAACTAGTATATAAGAAAAAAAGAAATACAGAAAAGTTGACTAATCCTTGATAGGAATAAGGAAAAGGAACTAAATCGGTATTAATAATCTATACCCAAGATCTATGCATACACACACGTGGGCATGCATGCACGCACACCCACATCTTAGCTTTGTTCACTGAGGTGTGGTAAAAGCAATGAGCATAGCTAGTGTGTAGGTCGTCCCTTGGAGAAAAAGGCTAATTCCAGAGAGTACAAGATGAACCTGGAAAAGCTCAAAGAACGATAGGGACATGTCAAAGGGAAAACTTAGAACTCAAAGGAGAAACGGACAATTTCACAATTCTATTTGTGGACTTCAACACCTCCCTTTCAACAAGCAAGAGAACTCCTAGACATAAGAACACTGGCAAAGATATAGACTATTTGAACACCACAATCAATCAACAGTATCTAATTCTCTCTCTCTCTCCCACACACACACACACACACACACACACACAGTTGCTCTCACTCTTTCTCGTCCCAATCAACAGCAGAAGCCACATTTTTCTGAAGCATCCATGGAACATTTGCCAAGACAGACAGTAACCTGGAGGCATAAAACGTATCTCAACAAATTTAAAATAACTTATCACACAGAAGTTATTCTCTGACCATAAAGGAATCAAACTAGAAATCAATCAACCGATTAACAGGAAAATCTCTAAGCAGATGGAAATGGAATGAAAACCCACCTTGCTTCATAGGCTGCATCTGGGCATGACTCCATCCTCCACCTATGGCAGAGGAAACTAGGGGAGGCAAGGGAGCCCTCCCACAGTGCAACCCCCAAAGCTGGAGGGAAAATACCTTGATGTGGAATGTGGGTAAGAGAGCCGGCAGAGAGACACGTGACTGAAGAGGGGGAGCGATCCGGATAGGACAGAGAAGCAGAGTGAAGGGTCTTACAGAGACCGCAGAGAGGACGGGGAGGTGACCAAAGGAATCAGAGGCTCCTAGACACCACAATATCTGGCAAGTCCTGTCACCATTCCCATTTAGTCTCCTGACAACACCCAGGTGGGGAGGGCAGAAATTATCATCTCTATCCTGGGAAAAGAGAAATGAGGGCCAGAAATGTCAATTGCTGCCCAGGTCAAAGAACTAAGCAGCAGGCCAGCCAGGCTCACACCAGCCTTGGATCCCAGCCCAGGCTCTAGCCCTTACCTCCAAGGCACCTGTGCACCTTCAGAGTAAAGTGTGAGCCAGGCACAGTGTACCTGCTGCCCACTATAAAACAGGTAAGTCCACTCAAAGTCGACATCAAGGTCCGGAAATTAGAAAGCCACTTTCTCACAAGAAGCACCATTCTTGCAGCTCATTAAAGGAGTCATGTTCAAGGTGGCTTACTTCTTTTACAAAGAAATGAAGACTTCTCGTAGCAGTTCTCAGCATGCCAGCTGTGCAGGTCGTGGTTGCGGAGGGTGGGGAAGTGGAAGCACTGGAGCTGGGCGCAGAACACATTGTCACTTTCAGACATGGCTGAGGCGAAGATAGGGTCTGGGGGCAGGAACACCTCTGAGGATCCTGTAGGTGAAACAAAAGGGAAGGTTGGCCATTACAACATAATGTCAACATCCTAACCATGTGCAGTCTTCACAGGGACCAAGGCCTCCCCCTAAACTGGACCATCAATCAAAGAGCTCATAGACCATCAAGTGGAGCTGTATTGCAGTTATGGCATTCATTCACAACCTCTCTTAGCTCCACTGAGTGCAGGTTTCAGTACCAGGCTGAGGGTGTCATGCTCCTGTGGAGCCAGGGAGGCAAGCACATGAACAAATCATACTGGGCTGAGAGTCAGAGGATCACGCTTAGCAGGGGATGTTTAAAGGTAGAGCAACTACAAGAAGAGCGAAGCATGGGTTATAACATAATAATGAATATGTATGAGTTCAAAGGAAGAAAATGAATAAATAAATAGGGGAGAGGAAGGGAAAGCTCTCTCTTACAACAGAATATTGACTGGTAAATAGAGAAGGCCTGGAGAAGGAGCCCACTGCACCTGCTACAAATGTATAATTTAGGCAGAAACGTGGCTCCCACACCCACCAGGAGTATCAGCTGGCCTGGTGAACTCCTGGAAAGTGCTGGGTCCCTGGGACCCACTCCCAGCTCCAGGGAGACTCTGTCATCCACTCAGCTACTGCCTTCCAAGCTGGGAATCAGGCAATCAGAGACCATGCTACCCTTGCAGCCCAGGGTGGGAGTGCAGGGGTGTTGAGGGAGGGGGCCATGAGCCTCTAAGCCTCTTTTCTAAGTCCTAAGAATCTAACAGTCTCCTGATCATTCTCCCTTGAAATTTAATAAATATTGGCAAGCCATAATCCTGTGAACAGGCACTTGGGGTACACTGGGCAACAACTTGCCTTGTAGAGCTGACATTTGGGGGGGTGTAAATGGTAGAGACAGATGCTGAACAACAGAATAAGTATACATGTTGGAAGGTCATTGCTGCTACAGCAAAAAGAAAGCTGGAGCATAGAGGTGAAGGAATGCATCGAAAAAGAGAATGGAGGAAGAGGGGTACACTGACATTCCTGACACTGCTTGGGTTGGGGGTCTCACACCATCCACAGGCATGCTGCTTTGCTAGGACTGAAGGGACCCACATCTAGCTATAGTCATGGCTAAGATTTATTACAACAATGTAGCAAGATACACCAGAAGCAAGGGAAGGGACAGCTCAGGTAGAGTCTGGAAAAATACAGGCCAGGCTTCCCCAGCACTCATCTTCCAGGCAGGAAGGTGCCATGGAGTGGGCCGATGCCAACAGTACTGCAACACATTTCTGCTCAGAAAAGCCTGGATACCAACCTCTGGTTCACCGCAATACCAGACTTGCCAAGAGAAGCAGGTGTTTACCATAAATCCCCATTTGTGCAGTGCAGGCACCCTGGCACAGCAGGCTCCACTTAATTCCCATGTCGGTCCCAGACGCTAGCCAGGGACAGCCTAGCTACGCTGCCTTCTGCAATGCACTGGAATGGGAAGCCCTGAACCGGGAAGCAGTGGCTCAGAGAGGGCTTCAGTGGGAACAAAGGTGACCCATGGGAAGAATAGGTGAGAAGAGCAGGCATCCCTGTGGCTGAAGAGGAGGGCCAGGAGTGGTGGAAGGGAAGGCAGAAGGAAAGGGCACTGCAGGCCTCAGTGAGGACAGTGTCTTTGTGGGAGGAGAGTCACTAACAGCCAGAGGCAGAGGAGTAAAGCACCCTCGGTCAGCCATGTGAGGAGACTGAGGTGGGTGAGAGTGGGAGCAAGGAGATCAGGCTGGTAGCAGTGGCTGCAGTAATTTCGGTGAGTGACGACAGATCTGGCAACAAGTGACGAGATTCTAGACATGTCTGATAAGGCATGAGGAAAGAGAGAAGTCAGGGAGGACCCATATGTCTCTGGCTTGGGAATTAAAATATTCCTTTATTTTAATTCTATCTGCCTGACAGCTTTCCTTCAAGTTTGGGTTTCTGAACTTCTCTGTCCTAGAAAACTTGTCCCTCCCTCCCTGGCTCATGCCAGCTGCACATTTTGTATGCTCATTTTGATGCGCTAAAGTCCTTACCTGTAAAATGAGGATGGCTGGTCTAGAAATCTGGCAAAGTAAGAAGCAACCATGGGTTCCAGAAAAGGTCCTAGCCTGGAAGAGGGGCCTGCCCATGGGGTGCCTGACCGTCATCACAGCCCTCCCTGTGATGTGGGGCCCATTCCTATCCATGTACCTGCATCAGGTAGCCCTACAAGCCAGACACCACTGATGAGAGGGGGTCAGGGGAGGAGAGGAGACCCTAGCAATATACCCCTATTCTGGATGGTATACCTTGAATTCAAATTCAATAACTCTTCTGAAAAATCAGAAAGGCTTATCTTTTTTAAAATTTAATTTACTGATTTTTAGAGAGAGGAAGGGGGAGAGGGAGAGTGGGAGGGGGAGGGGAGGAGAAAGGGAGAGAGAAAGAGGAGCATGGATTTGTTCCACTTATTCATGCATTCACTGGTTGATTCTTGTATGTGCCCTGACTGAGGAATGAATGTGCAACCTTGGCATACAGGGACAAATCTAACCAACTGAACTACATGGCCAGGGCTCAGAAAGGCTTACCTTTGAATGCTACCTCCCAGTGGCCTTCTAAGGAGCGGTTCCGGCCAGTGACAACGTACTGGTAGCCAACCCACAACCTGCAAGAGGGCAGAAATGCAGGGGACTTCAGCATGGCAGCAGGGAAGCAGCCACTGATTGTGCATGAGTATATTTTGAACTTCTAAAGTACTAATGATTTTTTAAAGTTTTTGATAATTTTAATAAAATTCTAAACAATAAATTCACAGATCAGAAAAAATTTTCTCTTGAGTGATTCTTGCCAAGGCTGCTCTTATTAGTTGATCCAATAAAGCTTTCATATTCTAAGCAAGACCAACCTTATTTGGGGTGGACACAGGAGCTCTGTGAATACAACTCTGAATACACTAAAGGCCCAGAAGAGTACCCTCTCTAAAGGAGTGAATTTTATAGTATGTGAATTAATCTCAATAAAAACTAAACCTGTTTAAGTATACACTACAGTGGTGGGTAAAAGCATGCTCATGGCCTCTAGCTGGGTTACCTGCTCAGAGCCAGCTTGCCAGAGCCTGCAGCTGCTTCCGAGAATACAAGTCACAGCACTGAGAGGTCTGTGCACTCAGATCACAGCCACCTGTTCAGTGTGCGTCCCTCACCCAAGACTTCTAGCCCAGCCCTGGAGATGCCTTCAGCAGGTACACTGCCACCAGGGGAGCCCTGGCATGGTGCTACTCTGCCCCTTCAGCCTACTGCCATGTACACGCCCGCCCACCTTGAGGAGACAGGGTACTTCCCCACCCGATGGGCTGAGCCCTCTTGCTTTTCCATGAACTTATAACCACCCTGTGAGCTGGGAGTTAGTTTTCTCACTTTGTAGCTGCAGAAGAAAAAAAAGCACTATCTCATGATTTGTCAATGTCATGGGGTATGATGATAGAGCCCAAACCCAGCTCTAGTCTTAAAATGAAGGCTCTCTGGCCCAGCCGGCGAGGCTCAGTGGTTGAGCATCAACCTATGATCCATGAAATCCCAGTTCGATTCCCAGTCAGGGCACATGCCTGGGTTGCGGCCTCATCCTCAGTAGGGGGTGTGCAGGAGGCGGCCAATCAATGACTCTCTCATCATTGATGTTTCTCTCTCCCTCCCTCTCTCTGAAATCAATAAAATATCAATATATTTTTTAATAGATATATTTTTAAAAATGAAGGCTCTCCACCTGGCATGGTCATCTTCTTCCTATGGCAGCATGGCAGCCTGTGCCATCGCTGGGAGTGAGGGCTATCTGGTGACCTCTGCAATTCATACTCCTGCCCCCAGTAGTGTGGATGGGGCAGCACAAGGCCACACACCACAGGTCACAGCACATGCTTGCCCCCAGAACCCGGGGCTGGGAGATGCTGGCAGTTGGCCAGTTTCTACACTTTCTCCTCAATGCTACAGAGACTGGGAGGTCAAGAACCAGGCTCTGGAGCCAGATTGCATGGGTTGGAACACAGGCACACCCCAGCTATTGTGTACCCACGGTCACATGCTTGCCCGCCTAGGCCTCAGTCTTCTTCCCCACTGGCTTCCTGTGGTTTCTTGGAGGACTGAATGAGTGAGCCCATTGAAAGCACCTGAGCAGAGGGCCTGGCAGAGCCCACGTTCTCAGAAGGAACTACCACCCATCTGTGCACCCCTTGTGCTGGGCCCAGAAAGGCTCACAGTGAGCAGCCCCTCCTGATGTGGGCTGGATCCCCTTGCAGGTCAGCAGCTGCAGCTGAACTTACAGAGGAGGGACAACAAAATGGACTGGTCCAAGGTGGCAGCCCATCTCTGCCCTTATAGGAGAACCCACCTTGCCTGACCGGCATGGCTCAGTGGATGAGCATCAATCTATGACACAGGAGATTGTGGTTCGATTCCCTGTCAGGGCACATGCCCGGTTGTGGGCTCGATCCCCAGTAGAGGGCGTGCAGGAGGCAGTGATCAATGACTCTCGTCACTGATGTTTCTATTGCTCTCTCCCTCTCCCTTCCTCTAAAATCAATAAAAACATATTAAAAAAAAAAAAAAGGACGCACCTCATCTCAATGCCCACTCTAAACCCCTGAATCTCTATTTCCAGTGCTCTTTTCCAAAATGCTGGCTGCTGGCTATACCTTAGGACTGCCACAGTGGCCAAGAGGCTATGTGCTTAGTGGGCACTGGCCTGACCCCCAGGCCCCTGGGTCCCCATCCAGGACTCACTTGTGCTGGTCCTGCCAAGCAAAACTCCGCTCTGGCTGGTCCCATTCCTGGGCCAGGACAAAGCGCAGCTCCTGGTCAGTGGAGAAGGTGGCGAGGGAACCATTGACACGCTGGCAGGTCTGTGCAGCGTCCCAGTAGTTCTCCCCGCTCAGGTAGACCCTGTAGCAGCTGGCCGTTCCTTCATAGTGGTGCCACCCTGTCGGGCACTTCCCTAGGAAACATGAAGGACAGAAGGGGAGTTGTCCCCCCAAATTAGGATCCTCAATCCAAAACAAAATTATCTATGCTACTCAGAAATCACCCTAGAGAAATGGGGAAACTGAAGTTCAAGAGGAAAAGCTCTGCTACAAAGACCACGTACTTTGTGGAATATTCAAGTTTAAGATACAGATGCAACCTAAAGTACAAGTATATTCAGTGATTCCTCCCATTTCTATTAGGTCTTTAATTTACTTGGCAGTAAAGACTGGCTGCTGAATTCTTTCAATAAAGTGATGTTCATTCTCCGATTGTTTGGTTAACAAGATGGCAGAACTGCCCACGCCAGCTTACTGCAAGGCCTGGTAGGAGTGGGCAAGGAGGCTCCCTGCGCACTCTGTCCTGCCCAAATGCTGGCTCTCTGGCCACCCTGCCAGCAAGCCTGCAGCTTCCTGAGCCTACTCCTCCACTATCCTTCTCTCTTCACATGGGTGATGGCCAGTACTACCCTAAAACAGAAGCACAGGTGATCATAGCTGGAATTGTTGCACCCACTGAGATTGTGGGACCAACTCCTACCTCCTAAAGATGTGAATATAAGGCCCAGGTGGTTCCATGGTGGGCAGAAGCCAAGTAGCCAGTTGAAGTCAGAGTCTCCATTAGATGAGCTGGGCCAGATATCTCCTTGCCAGGTGGACCTGCCCCAAGGGTCGGCAAGACTCTGTACCATATGGCTGGCTTTAGGTAAGGGCAACCACCTGTTCTACAGGATCTATAACCTTCAAATACCTACCTCCTAACTAAGAGTACACTGATGAAGAGTAACACTTTTTTACAAAGCCAGTTAATGAAATGCAATTTTCTAATGCATCTACATCTTGTGGAACAGGTAAAACTTCTTAAAAACTGATGCTTGTGTTTTTATTATTCAGAACATGTGTGTAACTTATGAACAATGCAACTGAGATTACATGAGGGGAAAGATACCCTGAAGGGCTGTTTTAAAAAACACACTGCACCCCTTACACAGCCAAGCTGCACCAGGAGAGCCAGGGAACATGTGGGTTATAAGGGTTTAGTTACAAACAGAGCAGGTCTGCAACTTACTGCTGAAGCGAACGGGCTGTGCCACATTCACTGCATGGAAATGCGTGGGGTCGCCACCTCGGGCCCGCCCCTGCCTCGGATCCACAGCCTCCTTCTCATGGTAAGGACGCGAATCCCCAGTCACTTCTGAAAGCAAAAAGAGAAGTGGGCTATAAACACTGCTCTCACAGCAGCGTGGTCAGACTACCTGAAGCTGGGAAGACTGGAAGTGGGTGCAGCATATATTCCATTTATTCAGGTTTTCTTAAGAACTCTATAAAACGTTGCTCTTTGTATCAAATGGATCACATGCACATCTTATTAGCAGTCTTCATTTTTTTTTACTACCAATGATCGTGAAATAAGGTCTCCCCTTCATTGCATTTTCTAACAGGCTACTGCTGGCACAGCACAAGGTCAGCCATTCCCGCTGAAAATCTCTCAGCAGCTCTAGCCCCATTGGGGGCTTCTTCCAGAGTCTAGGCGGCCCTCCTGCCCCCAGACTGCCTGGGAGCCTCCTGTTAGCATGAAGGCGCTGTGCATGACCCTCTTGGCACTGGGCCTGAGTTGCCATCTGTCCACCTCCCTGATAGTCCCTCTTACAGCCTCGAGGTTAGGGCCTCGGTAAATTCCTGCCTAGCTCCATGGTGCCTGGCATAGGCCCTGGCGTGCAGCAGGCCTTGATGCATGGCTGGAAGTGTGAACAGGAAGCTGAAGACGAGGAATAATTCCAGTTTTATGTATCATGGTTTAATAGTAATTTGCAGGTCAGTCCTTCCAGTCTCTTTTTAGGGTTCTTCAACCCCCTGTGAAAGGAGAACCATTCTCCCCCTTCTCAGAGAAGGGAGGAGATTTACCAAGGCACAGTGCAAGAAAGAGTCAGGGGCAATATCCCTCCTGAACCACCCTCCCCCCACTCTGCCTGCATGGGGGCACCTTGGTGCACAGTGAGGGATACCTGGTGCAAGGTCAGGACAGACAATGACACACTTGGTCTGCATGGCTACACAGACAGAACCACAGACATCCATCGGTGTGCTCAGCTGGCCTGAGGCAAAGGACACAGTGGGCATGGTTTGGCTTGGCAAGAAGCGTGGCGTGGTGTGGCATGGCATTCGGGGTGGAGGAACGTGGTAGATTAAGGGAAAGGGGTTGTAGGGCCGGGTAGTGTCCCACAAACCCACCTTCCTCGACTCTGTGGCTGGCAATTAGTCCCACTGACTAAAGCTTCTCCAGCCATCTGGTTCTCCTATTATCACAGACTCTGATATTGTTTTTTATTTCATAAATAATCTACTTTTTCTTATAAAATAACAACTATTCAATGTGAAATATTTGAAAAATATACAAGTTTGGGAAGATAAAACATATTAACCATTACTATGTTAGGGTCCCTCCTTCAGTCTCTTTTTTCCTACATAAATCCTTAAAAATACTGGGGCCACATCAAACACTGTATTTTAGGATTTGCTTTGTAAGCTTAAGACTATAAACTGCTTTCCATATTCTTTTTCTTTTTTTAAAAATATATCTTTATTGATTTCAGAGAGAGGAAAGGAGGGGGAGAGGGAGGGAGAGAGAGAGAGAGAGAAAAACATCAATGATGAGAGTCACTGATTGGCTGCCTAGCCCGCAACCCGGGCATGTGCCCTGACCTGGAATTGAACCCCAATCTCCTGGGATCGTAGGTTGATGCTTAACTGCTGAGCCACACCCGGCCAGGCTTTCCATATTCTTAAATAAACTAAAGATCACTTTAAATGGCTGCACAGTATTCTGTGAATGGATTTCTTTAATTACCACCATCTCGTATGGCACAAAGTTTAGGTTGTTTGCATTCTTACATTACTCTAAGAAGGGTTGCACTGAATGACTTGTACAGAAATCTGTTTGCGCCTCATCATTTCCTTTTGAGACCCTGGGCCTTACAAGATTTGGCTCTCTTCCCCACTAAGTACTGAGTGGAGTATTTCCAGCTTCTTCTCAGGCATGTGATGGGAATCAGGTGCCATATGATTGAGAATCATTCTAAAATATAAAATGTGCTACTTAGTGGCTGAGATAAGCTCAACATAAGGCAAAGAACTCAAAAGGAGAAGCATCTACAAGGCTTTGGAGTGAGTGATCCTGCCACCAACACAACCGCCTCATTTGCTGCTGCCCCTGCGGAAGGTGGTCTGAGGTTGCAGCTGCTCTCTTCCAACACCCAGCCCTAGGGGCCAGCAACACCATCTCTCTAGGACTGGAGTGCCCCATGCACATACCCTGAACACCACTGCTCCAGGGAGGAGACTGACAGCTCTGGCACAAGGACAGCACTATGAAGCCTTCCTCCTCCCTTTCCCAGGCAGGCAGAGGATCAGGAAGATCCATACTGGCCTTCTCAGGGAGGGTGGACTTAGGATCAGGAGATGAGGGAAGGGAACAGAAGGGCTTCCTAGCAGAGGGCACTGCTTGGGCAAAGGCAGGCATGTCTGGGATAAGCTTGAGGACAAGTTTGGGTGTGGCAGAAGCTACACCTAAATTTCATATCTCCCTTCTGTCTGATCAAAGGAGCAAGACCTGTGATTCCACTTTGCATCTTGGCCTCTTCCCCAGACCAAGAACAGCATGTGGTCTATGCCAGGCCACAATGCTCACAGAAGGACAGATGGATTTAGGACAGTGATTTTCAACCTTTTTCATCTCATAGCACACGTAAACAAATTACTAAAATTTTGCGGCACACCAAAAAATATATTTTTTGCTAATCAGACAAAAAAAGGGCATAATTTGATTCATTCACAATGGACATTATTGTGGTATTTCCATTATATCATAGATGTTCTTTACATTGATTCTTTCCCCTCTCAGCTAGGGCCAGGGTGGATTCACTAAGTAGAATCTCACTGAGGATAAGGGTTTGCTAGCCCAGTGACAACCACCTTTGCTTCTATTTTATCGACGGTTTGAGACCTATGCTTCTGAAATACCAATATGAGCATTTTTGTTTTTCCACTTTACGCCCATGTGGACATATATAACACAACAGAGAATAACTGCAAAAAGACAGCCCTATAAGCTCCCAAATCTGCCTCCCTCCTGTTGCTTCTCGGTCCACAAATGTCTAGGCACAAGTTCCCAGAGGGAATGCCTTACCTTCTGCTACTGCCCCTAACAGGAGCTGAAGCCACCAGATAGAGTCCTATAATACTCAAACTGTAGCCTTGAGTCTCAACTGCCAGCAGAGATATAGAAGAACAGACTGACCTGGGCGGAACACCTTACCCAAGGTCTTAATTCCTACATATGCACATCACAAGATGAAACAGAAATCCCTGCTTTCCCTTCTCCCAGCCCCATTCCTATAACCCATTTCCCAGAGACAACTGATTTCTTCAGATACACTCACTGACTGAGCTAAACCACCCACAGTCAGGGGTCTCCGGGAGAGAAGGTTCCAAAATGACTCTGGCAGAGTATATGATAGATCTACAACTGAAGAGAAATCAGGAAAGAGGTCCTGCTAAGGACATTACCCAAAAAAACTACATTTATAGCCACTTTGGAAAAGAATTTGGCAATTTCTTAAAAAGTTAAACATAAATTTACAATCTGATCCAGAAATTCCACTCCTCTGTATTTGCCCAAGAGAAATGAAAGCATATGTCCCATCAAAGACGTGTACACTAGCCCTGGTCAGGTAGTTCAGTTGGTTAAGACAGTCGTCCTGATACGCCAAGGTTGCAGGCCAAGGTTGCGGGTTCGATCCTTATCAAGGCACATACAAAAATCAATCAATGAATGAATAAGTGGAACAACAAATGGATGTTTCTCTTCCTCTCTCTCAAGTCAATTTAAAAAAAAAATGTGTACACTACTGTTCACAGTCGCTTTATTCACAAAGTGAAAGCAACTCCAATACCCATCAAATAATGAATGGTTAAACAAAATGTGGTATTATCCATACAAGGCAACAGTTGTTGAGGAAAAGCAACAACCTACTGACACATGGATGAACCTCACAAACACCCTAAGTGAATGAAGCCAGACGCAAAAGAGCACAAACTGTATAATTCATTTTATATGAAGTGTCCAGAAAAACAATTCTATAAGAGACAGAAAATACATTAATAGGTCCATGGGAATGGGGGAGGGAACAGGGAGTAACTCTAAATGGACATGGATCTCTTGGAGGTGATGGAAATGTTTTAAAATTACTACTGTGATGGATGACTGCAGAATTCTATTAATTTACCCAAAATCAATGACTTGTACACTTTTAAAACCAGTGAATCTTATGGTATATAAATTATATCAACACAACTGTTAAAAATTAAAAATCTAACAGGACACATGAAGTGTTTTTTTTTAAAGTACATACATAAGGTTTAAATAAAAGTAAAACAAAGAGAAAATGACATGAATGAACATTAAAAACATTATGCTAAGTAAAAGAAGCCAGACACAAAGGCCACATTTCTGACTCCATTTCTGTGAAATGAGCAGAAGAGGCAAATCCACAGAGACAGAGGTAGATTAGTGGTTGCCAAGGGCTGAGGCTTGAGAAGAAACAGAGAGTACTTGTTGATAGGTACCAGGTTTCATTTTGGGGTGACAAAAATGTTCTAAAATTGATTGTGGTGATGGTTGCACAGCTCTGTGAATATTCTAAAATCCATTGAAAACCATGTTAAATTGACAAATTATGAGACTTACATTTCAATAAAGCTGTTATCAAACAACAAAAAGAAGACGTTGATGACAATGCAACTCTGTGGTAAGAACAAACTGTGCTAGCAAAAAGGAAATGGAATCCTCCACCATGGCCCAGCTAAGAGCACCTGCAGTGAGAGAGAACTCTGGGAGTGAAGAGGGAAGAGTCAGGCAACTTGTTTAGGGCAAGTCAATAGAGAATGCCTAAAAACCATGGAATTTGGAGACACAGTTAATACCAAGTGAAATAGCTAAAGTAATCTCAAGTGTTTGCTTCTGAGAAGTAGAAACTGGAGGGGCCCACTGTGGATGCTATTTTTTCAATAAAAAATTACAGAACTATTTGAATACTCAAATTGTATGTGTAAAATAACTTGAAAAAAACTAAAACTAAAATTTTGATTGACAATTAAAATCAGTTGCTCCTCAGATCCAGCAGGCACTCATATCAG